CAGATTAAGAAATGTTTCTGGCATTTAAATGTAAGTAATATTTACTAAACTTTCCCAAGTCCAAGCAGATTTACCAGCAATTCTAAAACTTTCAACTAAAAAAGAACAGCAGCATTTTCAGCTTTGAGAATGATAAAACGCCTACAATGAATGAGTCAGGTACCATGTTAGGTATCTTCAGATAATACCTCAATTTAATCTTTCTAATACCGAGGTCCCTCAGTGTCCACCCATGGGGAATTGGCTCCAGGATACCCCTCCTATTCCCCCAAATCCACACATGCTCAAGTCCCTTACATAAAATGTATTTGCATATAACCTACACACAGCCTCTCTTATACCTTAATTTATGCATTTTCATTTATTTATTTATTTTGAGACAGAGTCTCACTGGGTCACCCTGGGTAGAGTGCCAGTGGTGTCATAGCTCACAATAATTTCAAACTCTTGGGCTCCGGCCATCTTCTTACCTCAGTCTCCTGAGTAGCTGGGACTATAGGTATCTCCCACAACTCTTGGCTGGTTTTTCTATTTTGGTAGAGACAGGGTCTCCCTCTTGCTCAGGCTGGTCCCGAACTCCTGAGCTCAGGTGATCCACCCGGCTCAGCCTCCCACAGTGCTAGGATTACAGGTGGAAGCCACCCCAACTGGCCCTCTCTTAGACTTTAAATCACCTGGATTGCTTATAATACCTAATACAATGAAAATGCTAGAATGTAAATAACTACAATGTAGTTATTACACTTAATCTTTGATTTGTATTATTTCTTATTTTTACTTGTTAATTCTACTTTATAGATGAGAAAACCAGGACTCAGGCTAGGTAAGTAACAAAATCACAATGCTAAAATACTACTACATTGAGATTCTATCCCAGATATATCTGACTCCAAGTCCTAAAACGATTGCTGCTCCCCTCTGCTTACTAGTACCACCAAGAAATTACAAGCACTTTCAACCACGGCACTGTTTCATAAGTAGAGGAGAGTCAGAAGCTGCCCTGGAGTCAGAAGCTCTAGATTTTAATGATGCTTCTATTGAGTACTGGTTTCCTTCAAATTAAGGGAGAAGAAAATAGTATTTAAACTCATAAGGTTGAGGTGACAAGCATCTATAAAAGCCCTGGTGAAAGGGCAAGAGTGCAAGGTGAGCATGGCCAGTGCACCTGGGGGCTCCAGCAGGGCTCTGGGCTCTGGGCTCCAGGGAGTCCACTCTCGGGGCAGGGAGGAGCAGCCTGGATAAAGCTGAGCTACAGAGCCTACAGCCTCAGGGAACAAAACGGAAGGGGTGAGAAACAGACAGTCTCTGCTCTGTTCGCCTTCTCGGGGACTAACAAATACCTAACACAACTCGTGCGGGCCAGAACCACCTGGTCCTCAGCAAGCTGCTGGTGCCAGTCTCTCTGCCACTTTGGGAATCTACGGCAGCCCCCTGCCTTCAGGAAGCTCACCTCTACCCTAAAGGAAAGGAAAGGAAAAACCAGAGCTTTCTTTTTTATCTTTTCTCACCAACCTTCCCTACTCTCATTCTCATTCTCTCTCTCTCTCTCTCTCTCTCACACACACACACACGCACACACACACACACACACGCAGAGATCTGAAAGCTTTTCCATAATTCGTATGGGTGCATAAGCACTTGAGGCCCACTATAATTTTAAATACCAATTATTCAGAATGGTGACTTCCTGAGCAGAAAGGGCTAGTTTCAGAAGAGAGAAAAGTTGAAGACCCTAGGTGGAAAAGAACATCAATAGATTAGACTACCTAAAATTTTTTTTTCTTTTTCTTTTTTGTTTCTTCGACTACCTAAAAATTTTAAACCTCTTATGTCACTAAAAATAAAATTAAAAGACAAACCAAATAAATTAGGGAAAAAACTAGGTGAAAATATTTACAGCAACTATGATAAAGGATTAATAACCAAAATACATGAACTAGAGCTTATGACAAATGAGAAAAATACTAATTCCCAATAAATAAAAAGGGTAGAGGATAGGAACAGTGTGAGAAGAAATACAGCAGATACTCAAGTAAACACATTTGATTTTATTAATGGTAAATATATAAAAAAAAAAACCCAAAATACCCTTTCTCCTAAAAAGTCATCAAATATTATTAAAATGAGAGCATCGCTCTGCTAAAACTTAGTAGAAGCTTTTGGGCAACTGGTAACACGGATCAAATGTCCACACACACCCCGACTCTTTGATTTCACTTCTCATCTCCCATTGTAAAGAAGAGAATGATTTCCAATACAGGAAACTGCTGACTGCACAGATGCTCATTACAGTTGAAAATAGGCTATATACTTCACAATGGTATTAAATAAATCATGAAACGCCCCCAGATGGAATATTTTTACAGTCTTTAGAAATATCTACAGATGTTTTTGTAGCATGAGGAAATGCAAATAAAACAATGTCAGTTAAAAAAAAAAACAAAACAGTGAGGCCTGGCTCGAGTGGCTCATGCCTATAAGCCTAGCACTCTGGGAGGCTGAGAAGGGTAGCTCTGTAGTTGGAGACCAGCCTGAGCAAGAATGAGACCCTGTCTCCACTAAAAACAGAAAAACCAGCTGGGTGTTGTGGCAGGTACTGAGAGGAGGCTGGTCAGGAGGCTGAGACAAAAGGATCACTTACGCCTAAGAGTTTGAGATTGCTGTGAACCATGATACTATAGCACTCTACCCAGAGCGACAGAGTGAGACTGTGTCTCAAATAAATAAATGAATGAATAAAAATTTTGAAAACAGTGAGACAATGGCCAGCCATGATGGTTCACACCTGTAATCCTAGCACTTTGGGAGGCTGAGGAGGCAGGAGGATGATGGGGCCCAGGAGTTTGAGGTTGCAGTGAGCTCAGGCAACAGGGTGAGACACTATCTCAAAAAAAAAAAAAAAAGTGGGACATAAACATATATACTCAGAATACTTAAATTACGGAGGAAAAAATACATGAATATAAAAAATGGAAGCGATCATACCGACACACTAAGGGTGGTAATTATACCTTCGGGTGAGAGATCAGGAATGACTTTCTGTGTCTTCTCTGCATCTTTTCCAATACTACTTAAATCTTCGATAAGGTTCATATAGTACTTTTGTAACTACAAAAAAATTTAAATATTTCAAGTATAAATCCACACTAGACAATAGATGGAAATCCAACAGCTCTCCACCCCACTGCCACAGAAAGGCAGGTAAGGTAGTAATACGGGGAAAGTGGCTTTGTTTTACGTCTAGGGATAGAAAAATGTATGCCTTCTTGATGTGAAAACAAAAGCTTCTCATGTCCCACACATCAAAACACATTTTGGGAATTCACAAACCAAAACATTTTCCATCAGAGGATTTAAACCCGTACACTAAAATTATCGCCACAGAACAAACTAGTTAAGCAAGCAGGAAGTTTACTGGGAACACCCTAAAAAACTAATAATTGCTTTTACAGCTCTGATAAATCCCCGCCAGCTCATGACAGTACACAGTGTAACGTAAACAATCTCCAGTGAGTCTGTCACCACGTCTGAACAGGAAAGCATGGAATCTTTAGCATAAGGCTTTCCACTGGGGAGAATCACAGATGCTGCAGAAATGAAGTCTTTTGAGATTGGCCTTTCAAGGGCTGATTTTACAGTCCTTAAGTAACAGCTAACTATGCCAAACTCTTTGCATCCATTATGTTGTTTCAGCTTCACAGCCCTACAAGGCGGAGTTTCTCAACTTCAGCACTATCAACATTTCGGGTCAGATAATTCTTTGTTGGGGGTGGATGGGCTGTCCTGCACATTAGAGGACAGTTATCTGCATCCCTGGACCCACCAAATGCCAGTGGCACTCACACTTTGAGGTTGTGACAAAAAAGTTCTCTTGACACTCCCAAATGACTACTATAGGCCAAAATCACCTCAGTCAAAAACCACTGCTATAAAAAGTGCATACAATTATTGCTCTCCTATGACAGATGAGGAAAGTAAACACAGTTACAGGCCCATCTAACTGTGGAGTTCATTCATGCCAGATATGAAGCCCAACTCCAAGTGTAACATCTTCTCTATCTGGGCCACCTCTGCATCCCCATAGAGTATGGCACAGGCCTCAATGCATGATGGCTGACGGAACCATTACTCCTATGACATAGAGTATGGCATAGGCCTCAAC